GTCTGTCCCTGTCACCCCCAGGGTGTCCCTGTCCCTTTTGGGGTGTATTGGGGGTTCCCCCGTGTCCCTGGGGTCTGTCCCTGTCACCCCCAGAGTGTCCCTGTCCCTTTTGGGGTGTACTGGGAACTCTGTCCTGTCCCCAGGGTTGGTCCTTCGGGTTCCCCCCTGTCCCCGGGGTCTGTCCCTGTCACCCCCAGGGTGTCCCTGTCCCTTTTGGGGTGTATTGGGAACTCTCTCCTGTCCCCAGGATCTGTCCCTGTCACCCCCAGGGTGTCCCTGTCCCTTTTGGGGTGTATTGGGAACTCTCCCCTGTCCCCAGGGTTGGTCTTGGGGTTCCCCCACATCCCCAGGGTCTGTCCCTGTCACCCCCAGGCCCTCACTGGGCCATTCCCCGGGGTTCCCGGGGTGTCCCACGGGGGTGTCCCACGGGGGGTGTCCCCCGGGGTGTCCCTCGGCGGTTCCCTCGCTGTCCCCTCAGCGTCCCCCGCGTGTCCCCAGTACCCGGAGTGGCTGCGGCAGCACGAGGCGTCGCTGTCCCCGGAGCAGCGGCAGCGCTTCGTGGCGCAGCAGGCGCTGATGCTGCGGATCTGCGCGGAGCTGGAGCGGGAGCGGCCGGGGGAGCCCGAGGGGCAGCGGCGGCAGCGCTTCGAGACTCTGCTGGAGCTGATGCAGCAGGTACGGGGGGGCCACGGGGAGCCCCGAGCTGCCCAGCCACGCCCTGACCCCCTGTGTCCCCTCTCGGTGTCACTGTGTCACCTCGGTGTGTCTGTGTCACCTCTGTGTGTCACTGTGTCACTGTGTCACCTCTCTGTGTCACTGTGTCACCTCTGTGTGTCACTGTGTCACCTCTCTGTGTCATTGTGTCACCTCGGTGTCACTGTGTCACCTCTGTGTGTCACTGTGTCACCTCTCTGTGTCACTGTGTCACCTCGGTGTCACTGTGTCACCTCCGTGTGTGTCACTGTGTCCCCTCTCTGTGTCACTGTGTCACCTCTGTGTGTCACTGTGTCCCCTCTCTGTGTCACTGTGTCCCCTCTGTGTGTCACTGTGTCACCTCTCTGTGTCACTGTGTCACCTCTGGGTGTCACCTCTGGGTGTCACCTCTGTGTGTCACTGTGTCCCCTCTCTGTGTCACTGTGTCACCTCTGGGTGTCACCTGTGTGTCACTGTGTCACCTCTGTGTCACTGTGTCCCCTCTGTGTGTCCCTGTGTCACCTCTGTGTGTGTCACTGTGTCACCTGTGTGTCACTGTTACCTGTGTGTCACTGTTACCTGTGTGTCACTGTGTCCCCTCTCTGTGTCACTGTGTCCCCTCTCTGTGTCATTGTGTCACCTCTGTGTCCCTCTGTGTCCCTGTGTCACCTCTCTGTGTCCCTGTGTCACCTCTCTGTGTCCCTGTGTCACCTCTGTGTGTCACTGTGTCACCTCTGTGTCCCTGTGTCCCCTCTCTGTGTCCCTGTGCTTCTCTCTGTGTGTCCCTGTGTCACCTCTGTTTGTCCCTCTGTCCCCTCTGTGTCCCTGTGTCACCTCTGTGTCCCTGCATTCCCTCTTTGTGTCCCTGTGTCCCCTCTCTGTGTCACTGTGTCCCTTCTCTGTCCCCATGTCACTGTGTCACCGTGTCCCTGTGTCCCCATGTCACTGTGTCCGTGTGTCCCTGTGTCCCCTCTCTGTGTCCCTGTGTCCCCTCTCTGTCCCCATGTCACCATGTCCCTGTGTCCCTGTGTCCCCTCCTTCTGTCCCCTCACAGCTGCAGGACCTGGGCCACCCCCCCAAGGAGCTGGCCGGGGACACGGTGAGTGTTTGGGGACAGCACCCTAAAAGGATTTGGGGTCACCCAAACGCTTTGGGGTGACCCCACAGCATTGGGGTGATCCCACAAGAATTGGGGTGATCCCATAGATTTGGGGTGACTGCATAGATTTAGGGTGACCCCATAGATTTGGGGTGACTGCATAGATTTGGGGTGACCCCATGGATTTGGGGTGACCCCATGGATTTGGGATGACCCCAGAGATTTGGGCTGACCCCACAGAATTGGGGTGACCCCAGAGAATTGACATGACCCCGTGGATTTGGGATGACCCCAGAGATTCGGGGTGACCCCAGAGATTCAGGATGACCCCACAGATTTGGGGTGACCCCACAGATTCGGGGTGACCCCACAGATTTGGGGTGACCCCGCTGTGCCCCCACAGCCCCCCGGATTCAACCTGGAGCTGCCGGGGGGGGTCAGTGGGGAGCAGTGCCGCCTCATGTAGGGCCCTTTTGGGATCCCCCCGCCTCGGCCGGCCCCAAAGGAGGACGAAGAGGAGCCCGAGGGGGTCGAGACCTTCACCCCACAAACATTTTGGGGTTTTTTTGGGGGCTGGGGGGTGCAGGGACGCCCCATTTGGGGAGATGTCACCCCCTCGCCCCCCACTGTGTCCCCAATAAAGAGTTGGTGACGGGAGCGGCTCTGGCTGGGAATGGGGACCCTACAGAAATGGGGTGGCCCTATAGGGACATTGGGGGCAGAGTGACCCTACAGAAATGGGGTGGCCCTATAGGGACATTGGGGGGACAGAGTGACCCTACAGAAATGGGGTGGCCCTATAGGGACATTGGGGGCAGAGTGACCCTACAGAAATGGGGTGGCCCTATAGGGACATTGGGGGACAGAGTGACCCTACAGAAATGGGGTGGCCCTATAGGGACACTGGGGGGACAGAGTGACCCTACAGAAATGGGGTGGCCCTATAGGGACACTGGGGGGACAGAGTGACCCTACAGAAATGGGGTGGCCCTATAGGGACACTGGGGGGTTGAGTGACCCTACAGAAATGGGGTGGCCCTATAGGGACAGTGGGGGACAGAGTGACCCTAACCAAGGGGTGACACAGGGGGACACAAAGTGACCCTACAGCACCAAGGTGGGGACACAGAGTTGACCCTACAGTAACACTGGGAGGGGACAGCAGTGACCCTAAACAGGGGCAACCCCATAACAACACTGGGGGCGCAAAGTGACCCTACAATAACACTGAGGGTCTGGGAATGACCCTATAACAACACTGGGGAGGGACAACAGTGACCCTAAACAAGGTGAACCCACAGTGATCCTAAAGAAGGTGACCCCACAGTGACCCCACAGTGACCCTGAACAGGGGTGACCCCACAGTGACCCTAAAGAAGGTGACCCCACAGTGTCCCCACAGGACCCTAAAGAGGGGTGACCCCACAGTGACCCCACAGTGATCCTGAACAGGGGTGATCCCACAGTGACCCTAAACAAAGTGACCCCACAGTGACCCCACAGTGACCCTAAACAAGGGGACCCCACAGTGACCCTAAACAAAGTGACCCCACAGTGTCCCCACAGTGACCCTAAACAAGGTGACCCCACAGTGTCCCCACAGTGACCCCACAGTGACCCTAAACAAGGTGACCCCACAGTGTCCCCACAGTGTCCCCACAGTGACCCTAAACAGGGGCGGCCCCACAACACCAACGCGGGGACACAAAGCGACCTTACCGTAACAGGAGGTCACGGGGTGACCCCACAACACCATCGGGGGGTCCTGCAGTGACCCTAAACAGGGGTGACCCCACAAGATCGGGGGAGACAAAGCGACCCCATAAAAACCCCGGTGTGGGGGGGGGGCGCCGTTCCCATGGCAACGCCGGGGGGTGG